CCCCCCCCCCCCCCCCTCCCCCCCCTCGAAATAATCATCACACGCTTGCACGCGCGCCACCGCACGCATAGAGGCGCCGGCGGCGGGAGAGTCATCGGCCGCACACGTAACGCAGCTAGCTGGTGGCATGCCTTGGCTGCCCGCCCTCAAGCCTCATGAAACCTCACTACTCCCCCCCCCCGACGAAAGCTAAGCTACCATAACAACGAACGGCAGAGGCGTTAGTGCGGTGGGGTGCACTATTCGGGGAAGAAGGGGGGTGGCGAACTGGACTTGATCGCGCAACAACGCGACATGCGAGGCTGCCACCGCAGGCACGACGCACCCCCCTCTCCACCACCGCCGACAAGCCAGAGCGCCGATCCACACACGGAACCCCCCTGTACACCGAACACAACCCAGCGGAACCGTAGTGTACGTACCGACATAAAATACCGGAAAGCTAACCCAAGCAACGATGAGAACATACACTCCAAACGATAAAAAAACAGAGAGAGGAAGACGAAACAATGTGTCACCTCTCTTCCCCTCTGTCCCCCCTCTGCCCTTCTATCTCTGTGCCTCGGGTGTGTCAAAGAGAAGCGATCACATCGGGCGCGCCGCTCACCAGCACCACTCAACTCCCAGCAAAGAAACACACGCCTACAGCTTCAGTCCCAGTAGCTGCTTCAGGACCCTGCTAGGGTCCTCGGTTTGGCCTGATCCCCCCACCCCAGAAACGCCCTCCTTCCCGGACGAACTCCGGCCACCTTCCGCTGCTATACCTGCCGCACGCGCCTCCCCCGCCCCATCGCCAACGTTTGGCTGCTGCTGCTGCTGCTGCTGCTGCTGCTGCGGTGGCAGTAGCATGCCATCCCCGCGCCTTACCCCAGGGTTGCCGTCGTTACCAGCGCCTGAAAAATTAAAATTACCCTGTGCCCCGGGCGGCGGCGGAGGAGGTACGTCGCTCGGAGCGGCTCCCGCCGCACCCCCGCCACCGCTGCTGACGACGCCTTTGGAGCTGGCACCCGTGTCGGCATCGGCACCGTTCGCAGCATCCGCGGCGGTCGTGCCCATTCCTAGCAACGCCTTCAGCTGGTTCGCCTTGACCGCGTTGTTGTTGCTCCCCCCGGCGGTTGCTCCGCCGCCCACACCGCCAACACCGCCGCCACGAGCTCCTGCAGGCACGACGTCTGCGTCCGGGCCCGCCGTGCCTCCCGCGCGGGCGCCTCCCATGGCGGCCTGCTGGTGCTGCCATTGCTGCCATTGCTGGTGCTGATGCTGCTGCTGCAGCATCAGCTGATGCTGATGGTACTGCCAACGTTGCCATTGCTGCTGGTGGTGGTACAGTTGCTGTTCCCTCTGTTGCTGTAGTTGCTGCTGGTTGTCTTGCTGTGGCTGCGGCTGAGGCCGTGGCTGGGTCGCCACCGCCGCCGCCGCCGCCGCCGCCGCCGCCGCCGCCACCGATGCGGCGCCACTCCCGTGCAAAAACCCGAGGAGCTCCGCGCGCGCGGCATCGTTCGCGGCAGTTTTTTCCGCCGCCGCCGCCGCCGCCGCCGCCGCCCCGGCGGCAGCTGCAGCGGCGGTCGATCTCGCTTCTTCCGCCGCGTCCGGCGTCGCCGCTACCGCCGCCTGGCGCAACCCGTCCCCAGCACTAACGCCGCCGCCGCCGCCGCCGCCGCCGCCGCTGCTGCCGCCGCCGCTGACGGGGGAGTCGAAAAGAGCGGCCGCTCTGTCCCCCTCGAAGGCCAGGGGGCGAGCCGGAGACAGCGACAACGTCGCCGCCCCAGCCCACGACGAGGACGTCGGCGACGGCGGGCCGGAGGAGGAGGAGCAGGAGGGGGAGGATGAGGAGGAGACGGGGCGGAGGTCGTAGTCGACGGCCACGAGAAGCATCTTGCGCAGGTCGTGGGAGGAAACCCTCCCCGCGGGACCCACGGCGTTGCGGAACCCTCGGAGGTTGAAGTTCGTCGGCACCTGGGGGAGGGGGGGGTAACAAGAGCGGACGTGGCGAACGAACGCAAGGGGAGAGAGAGAGAGGCCATGTTATCGGTGTGTTCGCCATATCTTCTGTTTGTGCAGCAGTACTGCTAAAACCCCAACTACCCCGCTGCCTGCACGAGGCCTAATATCATCCGCGTGGAGGGTAATCTTTTGTCCTCTCTTTGCTTTGTAGCAGGAGCTACCCGACCTACCCCGCCGCTTACACCAGGTCTGACGATTTACATCGATGTTTGTCACGCAGGGTAGCCTTCGTCAGAGGCAGAACAAGCGACGAAAAGAAGGCTCAGGTAGGCTCGACGCATCTTCATTGATTTAAACGAGACAAGCGCAGGAAAACATGGCTAAGTTTTGCTCAACACGTTTAAATCCATGAACGAGACCGAACGAGCCACACACCACCGTGCAGGCCCTTCCTTCCAGGGGGTCCCGCCGTATCCTCATTGCCCCCGTATGTGAGTCATTCGGAAACCGAGCGCCCCAAAACACCTTCCCCTGTTTGTTGCCTACATGGTGAGGGTGGGCTAGTCTAATGGCGGCCAAAGAGGGTCGAAAGAGCGAGCT